GGGGTCATTGGCTGGGACGGGTGGGGGTCCACACTGGGGGGTTTGTCCTGGGCTGGTCAGTGTGCACAAGGCGTGGTCTTCCATGAAAAGCAGTGACCAGCTTAGCAGGCGGCTCTGGACACAGCAGCCCTTATCTCGCCGTCCCCACTGCAGCCCTCATGTAGCACCCCTAGAGAAGGCACCAAGCCCCCTCTGCATGATGCATTCACATGGCTTCGTGCCTGCAGTGCCCAAATGTTGTCTCCTCTGCAGCATTCATGGGCTCCCTAAACCTGGGGGGTATTTCTCAGACAGGTGGCAATGAGCCTGGGCACTTTCCTCGCCCTTCTGCCCAGAGCAGCTGCCTGGGAATGCTGAGGGCTCTTGTCTCTGGATGCAGCTATGCAACTCTGGAGTGTAGGATCGTAGCACCGTAGGGTTATTTGAGTTGGAAGGAATCTTTAAAAGCCCTTAGGACTGAGCAGGGACGGCCACAGCTCCATCCGGTGCTCAGAGCCCTGTCCAGCCTGAGTTTGGCTGTCTCCAGGGATGGGACATCAACCACTTGTCTGGGCAACCTGCACCAGTGCTTCATCAGCCTCATTATTTTCCTTCAGTCCAGTCTAAATCTCCCTTGTGTTCTCTTTTCTGGGAAGTAGAAGACCTTGCATAAGGACAGCGGGATCAGCCACTCTACAACCAGACCAGTCACGTCCTGGTTCAGAGCCTCACCAAAGTCTTCTGCTGGGCTCTGGGCCTCAGTCTCCATTTGAAATGGGTTTTTGGTGCTCCTGTGCACAGGCACACTAAGCCAGGGTGGGAGGCATGCAGAACCCCAGCAGGACTGTGGGGTTTGGCTCTTTCCAGAGGCAGTCTAGAAGGCTTCATCCAGTGGAGATGTGGTCAGTGGGCATGGCGGTGATGGGCTGATGGTTGGATTTGATCTTAGAGGTCTGTTCCAGCCTTAATGATTCTATTGCAGGGTTGTTGAGCTAGATGACCTTTAAGGACCCCTTCCAAGTCAAGTGATTCTATCATTGTATTAATGGGCACGACAGGGATGGATTGACGTTTGGACTTGATGATCGTGGGAGGTCTCTTCCAGCCTCTAGGATTCTATGGTTCTATGATTCTGTGATCCGGACCTCTGACCTGTGCCACTTACAGATCAGTGCTGGTTCGCTGACCTCCATGGAATAACACTGAGCAGTGGCACAAACACAGCACTCTGAGCACCCCATGCAGCTGTGGGTGTCCTCACTCAGCGCAGGGGAATTGGACCAGAAGCTTTTTAAACGTCCCTTCCAACTGAAACCACTCTGCGATTCATCGGCCATCCGAATGTGATCCAGTTGGGATCACTGATGGATGTAATCACACTACAGATTCTTGCTGCAGCCCCCTAGGAGAAATTCTTACATTGCACTATCTATTTATCGAATTATGCGCTCATTTATTTGGAATCCCTCAGTCCCACGCGAGGCCCGTGGGCCCCTTCCCGCAGCGAGGCAGCGCCGCAGTGCGCCGATAACGCCTGCAGGGTGCGGGCTGCCCGGCGCAGATAAGCGCATCGCACAGCTGGCCGGAGCCTGCAGCAGCTCTCACCTAAAGAGCAGACGCAGAGCCACGCACCCGCGGTTCCTGAAGAGATCTGAAGGCTTCGGAAGCTCTTCAGTTCTCACCAAGACTCGTAGAATATGTGCAACCCTCCGTGGCACACAGATACTCCATCATGTGTCAGCCAGCACAGCGCTGAACAGAGCTGGCCAGGACAGCTGCGTGCTCAGCTGGGAGGCAGCGAACAGCCTGGAGTGCCCCTCTCACGTCCTGCTTGGTTATTACTTCTCTTCCTGCAGTCTGCTTTGCCTGGCAGACCCGCACAAAGGATAAAATCCAAGCTACATCTGGGTTTATTATTAGCAACGCGTTTGCCTCATCTGTGATGGGAGTCTCATTTTCAGCTCGGTGAAGCTGAACTTCCAATAAAAAGATAATGATGTTTTTCTTCTGCCTGTGAGCCTGCAGTATGACAGAGTTTGGGGAGGGGTGGCCGGGACAACAGTGAGCGTCAGACGCAGTGCTCAGAGGAGAGCGCTGCAGCATTACTGTTAACGAGGATCTGTGGTCAATAAATGCCGACTTTCTGTACTCCATGGAAAAGCAGGCAGAGAGGAAAGAAACCTCAGGTCCCTGCCCCACACCATGGACCACTCAGATCCACTCTCATGGGTGCACTGTGGAGCAGGGTCACATCTCTGTGAGATGGATGATGGTGGTCCTGAGAGCCACGGGAGGGGGGAAGCAGAGGAAATGGGGCAGAGGTGCTCTTCACTGTGCCATGACAAGCTCACGTGGTGCACAGCTGACCTACCCTTGCCATGCTGCTGATGCAGAGCTGCTCCAGGGGCAACAGCAGCTTTCAGGCTACTGCCCAGGTGAACCCCAAAATGGGAACCAGAGCAGAGTCTTACAGAACAGCCGCAGACCCAAAGGAACAGGCAGAGCTTCTGCTCTGGGCCCTCTCAGGACAAACTTCATGATGAATTTAGGAAAATGGGAGCAGCAACCAGCTGGCCTGAAGCACCATAACTGATTCACCTTGCCATGCCTGAACACAGACACAGAGGATTTCTGAGGATCCCGTTTCCTTAGGAGGGAACAGGAGGCAGAAAAACCCCAGAAGATGTACGGGCACGGCACAGTGCAGTCAGAGCAGATGGTTTTGCAGCAGGCAGAAAGTTCCATGTTATTGCTGTAAGGAGAGCCATCCAACTGAGCCCTGGCTCATCACCCAGCTGAAAGGCAGTTCAAATGGCTTCTGTGCCACAGCAATAAACCGAGGGGGAATATAACAGTGGGTTCCGTGAGCACTGCTCTGCTCCCACAGCATCTGCTGGTGCACAGCATCAGGTCTGTGCAGACAGAGGTCAGTGCCCCTGCTCTGCAGCCTGGATGCTGCTGCAGGACCTGTTCATTCCATCTGCACAGGTCAGGAACACAGCATTTCTGCGTTGCTGGTTGTTAGTGAACTTCTGACTTCAGCAGTGAATAAAACATAAAGCAAAGCACTGGTTCTAGCTGCTGCCTTAAGGAGTGCAGTGAAATTCACAGGGGTCTGGGGCTCACTCCTAACCTGGATGTCTCAGTTTGGGATCCCGACTTTACCCTGCATGAATGTTTGCTCTGATCCAAGAGGCACAGAGCAGCCCTGGCTGTGCTCAGGTCATTATTCTTGTGATTCAATGCCAGGCACTCAGAGCCCGAGTTTCATGCCATGCGAGTTACTTACAGTGCAAACATCAGCACTGGAGCTGCCTTACAGCCTTGTGCTGTGCTGATTTAATATCATGGGAAATCTTATGTGTCTGAAACTCTGGTCTCATGTGCAGTTTGGGGCTGTTCACAGCAGAAATGCATGGAATTGCACAGAGGAGCTCTGGGCTCTGCAGCAAAGGGCCCTGGCCCTGTTCACACATCCCTTTCCCCATATCCTTGTAAAGGAATTCTCCAGGCTCTGTTCAGAAGGGATGTGAGACACGAGGTCAGGTGTGAGAGCCAGGATATTCAGACAGAAGTGAATGATTTAATTACACAACTGCTGGCTTATCCCTCAGCACAAGAAGGAATCCAGAAAGGGGCCAAAGCAGCTCAGTATGGCTGAGGAGGTGTCCCAAGGCAGTTCCATTTGAGGTAAGCTTTTCCCTGCCTATAACTGAGATGATGATTTGCTCTCACCCCTGCTCCTCACCAGGGAGCCCAGGATCATTGCCAGCATGTCAGAGAATCATAGAATAACAGAACGGCCTGGGCTGCAAAGGAGCACAGCGCTCATCCAGCTCCAAGCCCTGCTGTGTGCAGGTCGCCAACCAGCAGCCCAGGCTGCCCAGAGCCACATCCAGCCTGGCCTTGAATGCCTGCAGGGATGGGGCATCCACAGCCTCCTTGGGCAACCTGTGCCACTGCCTCACCACCCTCTGGCTCAAAAACCTCCATCTACTCAGCACAAGGATGCAGACCCGTGGCCAAGAGTCCCAGCTTCTGTTCTCCCACCAGAGCCCCTGCCTTGGGCTGGGGGCAAACCAAGCCCCGAGAACACACCAGGATGGGGTGTATTGGGGCACAGTGCAATGGGCTCCTGGAGCAGCCTCAGCCCTTCGTGCCGTGCTGGGAGCAGCACCCCCACAGCACAACACCCCCTATCAGCTGCCGTGCAGCCCGCTGCCCCCCTATCGCCCCCCGGCAGCCCCACACCCTGCCAGCCCCACACCAGATAGTTCCTCACCACCCTGACTGCAGCCCCAGATAAATCCAGCACCGGGCTGCGCCCACCGCACCGCCGCCTGCTTGGGGTTAGCAGAAGTGGGCTGGGGTCTGGGCAAGCCTCCACCCAGCAGCTGCTGTCGTTTCCTGGGGTCACACTGCTGTGCAGCTGTGGTAGCTATGGGAAAACCGAGTTTTCCTCCCATTGTTTTCCTTGATCTTTCCTTCACCTCTTTCCTGGAGGAGAGAGGTGACGCAGGGGAGGATTTCAGGGTCTTCTTCATCACTACTGCCCAAAATGCTGACAGTGGTGCCAAGTGAACACAGCGCAGCTGGTTCAAGAGGGAGCTGAGCCCCCTATCTGCTCCTCCATCAGTGTGGGGTTCCTAAAGGTGTTCCCAGGGGGCTCTGTGCAGGAGGTGAGCATGGGAGGAGGGAAGGGGAAGAAGCAGACCCACAGAGAAGGTCCCTTCTGGGACCATTCAGGTGAAATACACAGACCGTGAATCACAGCGCCCTGACCGGGAAGGCAGCAGTGCAAAAATGTCTTCAAGCATTATGAGATGTTGACTGCTATACTATTATATTATTATATAAGCTATACTATTATGTTACATCCTATATAGGACACCATTTCCTACAAGTGACGCTGTGTCCTACATGTCACACTGTGTCCTGCTCTTAGTATTGTGTGCTGTATGTGGCAGTCGTGTTCTATGTGCAGCACTGCATCTCACAGGTGCCACTGTGC